TTAATGTTCCATATAACATGAGTTCAGTCTACTCAAAGACTATGTTCTCAAAATGAATTTATTATGAAGATTTACTTTAAAAAAGTACATAAGGTAAGAAAGGTGATGAGATGGCAGGAGTAGAATGCATCTGATGAAAATGAGACATTTACTGTGTTACTCATTAGGGACTCACTGCAGGTAATAGTGACTGCATGTTCTGATTCGAATCTGCTATTGTGGCCAAGTAAACAAGATTTCTGTGCAGGATCTGCTGATACCTGTCAAAAAGGGAAAATGAAACACAGATTTACTCACTTTTACCTTAAAATGATATTTACAAGGCATCAGTCCGGAAGAAAAAAAAGAAGACAAACACTTACTGTGTGCATTCAGCCGTCTTGCCTTTGCTTTGGTAATCCATTATACACTGTATTAAATGATGATTTTCATCCAGCATCTTTGGGAGACAACAAAACAGCTTCAGTTATCTGAAGTTCAGTGCATGGTAAATTACACAGAAATATGCCCCATTAAGACATTGCAGTGATGTTGTCCTGGATTCTCAGAACTTCAGCCAGCCACAGAAAGAAATTCTGGGTCAGTTGTTCTTTTTTCTCCATAATGGAGCCAAATGAAACAGCAGCATCTCACGGTCTTTATTTAGGACATCGTCCCTGTCTTAAGGATGGGTGGTGCGTTTGCAGAAACACGGTTCAGACAAGGATAAAATCAGCATCAGTCTGAGGAGCATGGAGCTCAGGGTTGTCCTGTGTTTGCTCTGTTTCCCTCCATCCTACTACTACCATGCCTCTCTCAATGGATGCTTAAATATGTGCTTGCAACAAAGCGAATGTCCTTAATAACCATTTAAAGCCAACGGGACGCTGTCTGATAAGGAACTGACACCTAGCTATGACTAAATAAAGCCCCAGTTAAAATTCTTGGAAACAAGTCACAAAATCTAAAGCTGATATTTCATGGGTAAAAAATAATAGTAATAATCATCATTTGTCAGGGAACAAGCAAGCGAGAACAGCAGCATCACAAGGAAACAGCTCCAGCCAGCGCTGAGCGTGTAAAAGCGGTCGCCTTCTTCACCGTCACGGCTTTGTTTGCTTCACACCTTTCAATTGACTGTAACGTTACAATACCAGTTGCCATTTCTTCTGATCATTCACCACAGGCTACTTTCTCTGCACTAGCGGCGGAGACGCACACTCCCATCCAGACTACAATATTGAATTACAAGCGCCGCGACCCCCGTCAAGATTTGTTACCTTTTGAATCGTTTGCTGTGTCACCTCCCCTTTACTCCTGGGGCGCGCCGATGAAAACGCCACCGACATTTTGTCATATGGGAAATAAAAGCGCTTCTTTTATTCTAATATTTATTATCTTGAGCGCAGCCCCTCTATTTGGTTAGGATAGTTTGTCCATTGCCAAGAGATGGAGGGGGGGGGGGCTATTGACAATGCCATCTCTCGGCCATCTAGGAAGGAGAATTGGAAAACACAGGATTTCTCTGGATGCAATTTAACATGATTTTACTGGAAGTATTATTTATGTCTGCAAGCAAATAATGACACAGATAATAAACAGTTGCATGATAAGGGAAAACCCCTCTCCCTCGGTTTTTGGTATAACCCGGACAGTGAGTAGCCTACCACTTTCCCTCACTGTAGACCGGGTATCCTTTGATTCATTAGAGCCAATCAGCCCTCATTGTGCGCGCTGCTCGCAATTGTGAAAGAGTGGCTGCAAAAGTTGTTTTTAGCCCATTCAGAAAAAACAAATAAATGAGTGCCAGATTATGATACAATAATATCAAGTGAATATTCGTTACAGTATCTCCATACACCGGCATGTTAAAGGGACGTCTGCACAGTTTTCATATCATTTAAGGGGTTTCGCAACTTGGGATATTGTAGCCTAATCGGACAACGTTTATAGCATGTTTAAGAAAAAATAAATAAATACCTGATCCTTAAGATAACTTAGCTTCATACACAAACAGAACTGAGATGAGGATCAGCTGCCACTGACTGAGGCTATATTCACAGTGAAGGCACATAACCCAGATCGTTTTGTGGTCCAAATCAGATAGTTCTATTTTTGTTGCAACGTGGCCTCAGTGTGAATAGTAATATCAGAATTAATGTGACTTTTAGGTCACTGTGGATCGACATTCTTCATGTGGGTCTGTGACCTGTTACACTGGAATCTAATGTGCACAATAAAAACAACAGCCAAACAACAAAACAATAAATCAGATCTGAGCAATAAATCAGAATTGAGTGCTAAGGCTTGCATGTGAATGTAGCCCAATATGACAATATAACATCAAGTACACCCAGAGAGCATGAGACAAGCATATCAGCAATTTCCAGTTTATTCACATTAGTCTCACTTGTTGCTAAGACAAAATTAAGCAAAGCACAAGCATTAGCTTTTAAATACATTTAAATTCAGTTATTTTTATGTTGATAACATGTATAGTTTACACCTTCTTAAACACATGTACATATTAGACAAATTGAATACAAATTAGGATGATTACTCAAAAAGAAAAGCCAGATACTTTAAATATGAAAGCAATACATTTTAGGAGCAAAAATCTTCCAACTAGCAGAAACAAAACAGAAACTTAAACATTCACTTCCCATTTTTAATTTGAAAAAAATAAAAAATAAAAAAAAACGTTCTGGCAACATGATGGGGAAACTATGGTCACATATAGGGAACCATTTAATGAGCCATGCATCCATATTCAAAATGGGGCCAAGTGAAAAAAAAGGACAAATAAAAATACAATCCTGGCAATATGAGGGCAGGATAACTGCCTCAGGGGGAAAATACAGAATTATTCCTACAGTGCCAACAGGGCTGTTTTTATTGGTCATAGTAATGAGTAACAGCCCAATTTGTTATACAGAAGGGAATTATTGGAGGATGGAGTTGCTTTAGTGCCTTGGTATCTGGCCTTTACAGTTGTCCACTCCTGGCTCTGTAAGACAGAGTCTGAGCAGTGCCCCGTCCTCTCAGTCCAGTATATCCGCCTCTGAAGCCTTGGCTCCTCAGGAACCGTCCAGGGACCCCAAAAGTCTCCAGATTGCGCTTCCGCTCTTCTGCCCATGTTAGTCTGAAACCATTGGTTGACACAAAAAGAGGCACAAGCCTGTAAATAAACAAACAGGAGAAACTAGTGTTTGAATATTGAGGATAAAAAAGCCACTTTGTTTACCTGAACTTCGTATCAGACGAGATGTTGTCAAAGAAAGACTTTGCTTTGTTGTAGTAGCATTTTGATCCAAAATGATCATCCTCTGCAGTCAAGTTTAATTCTTCTTTTTTCTTCACTTCCACCTCATGATTTCCATCTGCAGACAGAAACATTACTGTAAGAACCCTGGAAGGATACGTGGTGGAAGACAAGTGGCTGAGCTTTAACTTATATGCTCTTTTTCACCATCCCAAATCCTACACTCAATAATGAAATCACATACTGGACAATAGCAAATCTGTTGAAGTTTCAATTGACTTTTACCAATTTTAAGTTTGATTCTGTTGCACAAATCAAATCTTTGCACATGTGTATGGAAAGACAGAACATGTTATAATAAAGTGCCATGAATAAGTCTGTCTTGCTACTGCTGAGCCTATATCTACAATTTAGTGGATTTAGAGCTTACCTGCAAGACAGTATTAACATCTATATGTAGTAAGACATGCTAAGGTTTAAACTGACATGGTCCTGTGATAAAATTTGTGTGTCAACGACTAGTAGATGAACATGCAGTGGTGCATTTGTGGTCACTCGAGCTGATACCTTTCATATTCATCCTGTCCTTCACCTCTCTCTCCAGCTCCTCCTTAATAAACTGGGCATTTGAGGAATCAAAATCAAAGTCTGTGTCAAACTTAAGGGTAGCAGAGGGAACATTAGCTACCATCAGCTGGCCTCTACTACGGTTCCTGCGCCTCCGAGCTCCTAAGAGCAATAAAAAAAAAAATAAAAACAGAATGTAGTGAATGTTAACAGGACATTCCTTTGTCATTTGTATCCAGAAAATTAAGATCTTCACCCTTTTACAAACCTGTATGGTTCACAATTACCTTGTCTTCTTCTCGGTGGTGGCCTGTTTTCAGAATACTGCTGCAGAGTTTCCTGCTGAGCACTTGGCAGACCTGGGCCTGACTTCACTTGAAGTTAAAAACAGCATTTACACTCAAGTGCACAGATGGACATGTAGAATTCCCTGAACACCCCACACAATCTTTCAAGAGTGTTAAACAATCCCAGCTATCCCCTTTTAGGTCCATTAGTGAACACAGCATTGTATTTAGCCTTTTATCACTACAATTCTGTTTACTTACTCATAGCTCCAGTGCCTCTTCTGGTCTGGAAACTCTCTCTTGGGGTCCTTTGGGGCCTCCTTCTCTCCCACTGCTGCTCCTGCTCCTGGGATTCAGTCGAACCTCTCCTCTGCCTAAATCTGTCCAGGTGGAAGGTTTGAACAGCCTTTTCCACCATCGGGCCTCTTCTAACCTGTAAGCCTGGAAGTACATGCCCTGCACAACGAACACAACCAAATATTGTAATATATTAACTACCTACTTAAACGTATACAGCTACACTAAGGGTGTGGGTTAATGGTCAGTTTACTAAGAATACATTTGCATTTTTTTGCTTACCAAGACCAAGAGCTGCAGCATACTGTTGATTAAGCAGAGAGCTGGCAGCAAGCTGGTTGTAGGCAGGCATCCTTAGGGGGCTAAATGGTCCACGAGCTGAATAGACGCCTGAGCCTGCACTGGATGACTAAATTAAAAAAAAAAAGTTAAACAAGTTAACACACATTAACTGGGATGTCCACTTTAAGGTTCACTACTGTGGGGTGTGAGCCACGCATGTCTTGTATACCTGTATTATTGCAGGATCCGGGGGTAGGCCGTGGTGAGCTCTTGGAGCTTCACACAGTGTGATATCCTTAATATCACTTCCCCGGAAAGTGATGTACTCATAGATATCATCTTTGGGTGGCATTGGTCTGTCAGTGGGTCGTCCCTCGGTTCCAAAACACTTGACTGGTTTAGAGAAAATCTTTGATAAAGCTAACAAAATGACATTGTGCTGCTATTTAAGTTTTACTTTTGAACATGCTGTCAAGCATAGGCCCACACCACTCACCTTTTGCCAGCACTACTGTGGAGTTCACTTTATCAATCGTATACAAAATCCCCTCATAACGATTTTGAGCTTTTGAAATTAACCCTATTTTACAGCCAATGTAAGGCTTTGCAGAACTCATGGCTACAGGAAATTCAGGACATCTGCATTCAAGCCATTGAGCGACCGGAAACAATTTATAAGCTTCCTCAGGTGACTTGAAACCACGCCCTCTGATTGAGGCTGAACGCACCTGGCAATGAGACAACCTCTAATTCAATATCAGTCCGGTCAGTCCCTGTGCTGAACTTCCCACTTATGACTCATGATGTCTGATATTTAATATAATCGACATCATCGTCTTATGTTTGAAACATTTATTTGGACTGTGTGGTATTTTGTTCTGGAATTTATTTTGATAACATTTGTCTGAAGTGTACAATAAGTTGCCACAGACAGTTCAAGTCTGCATTGTCATGAAGCCTGAGGATAGTGCAGCAAAACAACTATGAAAACTGGTCATTGTTGATCTGCGCTCTCAGGAGTTTGACACCCAGACTGCTCTCTGTCTGTGAGCGCTGAAGCAGCTGCTGCGGGTCTCCTGGAGAAAAAAAAATAGCAACAACGCAGCCATTTTGAGTCGTCTACGATAAAGTCAAATGGACACAAAATGCTTCGACACTGTGTATAAATCTGCAAAGATGTGTTGCACAATTTGTACACTCTCTCAGAGAGTCTCAACGATGTGATAAAGTCCCACCAGGAGCAGCTCTGTGAGTGGTATCGTTGTTTTCCCGTGGAGCTGCCAGACAGCGCTGACACTCCACACACTGCAACTCACAACCATTTGTTCCAACCTTTATTTTCCTCGACGAGCCAATCACAGCGCCCGGTGAGGCCGCGTCACTCGGGGTACATCCAATCGGCGCATGCGTCTCACGATCGAGCGTAGCTGGGCAAAGATGGCGGCGGGCTCCGATTTGCTGGATGATGTTTTCTTCAACACAGAGGTGGACGAAAAAGTAGTTAGTGATATAGTCGGATCTCTGGAGTCTGAGCTATCGGGAGCAAGTCGCGTCAACGCAACAGCCAGGGTCCAGTCTGTGGCTAATTACGTCGGTAACTCAAGTGTAGGTAGTAATTCCAATGTTCAGGGCAGCAAAATGGGACTTTCACAACAAGAGCTTGCTAAAGCAGGTAAGATAGCTGCCCACTCCGGTTAGCTAACACTAGCTCCTTTTGGTCACGTTGTTCAACTGATAGTAGCTAACTTGGCTTCACTTGTGTGTTTCCCGAAACTAATGCGAATCGGAGAGTTGTTCGACACCCCCCCTTGTTTTCATGTGTTTCCGCTGCTGTAGGGACAGGAGTGCAAGGAGGTGTCAGTAACAGTACGGGGTCCCACGGTTCAAGCATGGATGGAGCAACCGGGGCAACATCGGCGGCGGGACCGAGCATGACAGCCGCTCAGACTCAGTCCAAGCCGGGGGCAGCTAGCGGAGTCGTTACGGTAGTATCAGCTGCAACATCTGGCGTTGGAAAGCCTGGAAGCACTTGTGTTCAAACTTTGAATGGAAGTACTGTGGTCATGAACTGTCACATCGCCGGAGGCACATCTGCTGACAGCAGTGGCAACAATTCACAGCCCGCTGTCACAGTCGTCAACAACGGACCTGTCTCTGTGAGCAAAGGAAGCGCAGCTGTCCCGTCCGCAGCGCCCAGCACTATTATACGAACTTCTTCGACGAGTGCGCACAACACTGTGATTTCGTCTCAGTCCGCCGTGAAAAGTGTACCCACGGTCACGCTGGTGAGGCCACCTATGCAAACTCCCACTCTCACCTCACAAAGCGGCGGCAACCCGACCACAGTTTTAACATCAGCAGCCGTCAGCGTTAGCAGTGCGAGCGGCGCTCTTGTCAACAAATTCGACTCCACAAAAACTATTATTCAGACTGGTGGACACGTCGTGGCTTCAGGTGTCGCTACGGGGACAACGGCGACCATGAGGAGCCCTACTGTTTTGCACAACTTGAGGACTTCGGTACCGTCAACGATCGCTGCCACACCTCCTGGCGGAATACGAGCCATTGCTCCACAGGTGTTGGCCCCTCGACTCACTCAGCCTCAACAAAATGCTCCAAATATCCAAAACATTCAGCTCCCTCCAGGTAAAGTGTACAGTTTAAGAACATCTGGAAGATGTCTGTAACAAGTTAGACGTGGAAATGTGTTTGTGTTTAGGCTCTGTCAAGCTGCGGTAACTTTGTCAGAAACTTTTTTTTGCTATCAAGCACATCTTTATTTGTGCACGTTTTTTTTTTTTTTTTTTTGAGCTGATCTGTGAATAGTCAAGAAATTGTTTCAGAAATGTTGTAGTAAGTAGAGGGGACACATAATTGTTTGTCTTTTGAGGCCACAAACAGCAGATTAGAGGTGGACAAACTGCAGACCAGGTTAAAAGCCTTGAGGGCAGTCAGCCAGTTTATTCCTCTTAATGTCTCAAACAAGCATTCTTTTGTAATCTATTGATTCTTATTGCTTTGTCTTGTCAGAGACAATAGCAAACTGTTCTCATATCAACGCCTATTTACTGTGTATCTTTCCCCTGAGTGTCTGGGTGTGTATGGGTGTGTGTGTGTGTTTTAAACAGTTGTTTGCAAAGGCTAATTGTTAGACTGTCTATAACCTTGTTATACTTCAAGGTTTTGCGCTGGCAGAATTGTATTATTGGCGTCTATTAAAGGGATAATTTTAGATTTTCTTTGGCATACGGCTGTATGAATTGTTCAAATTTAGTCATATCAATACATGGATATTAGCCATATCACTTATCACGCAGCCACCTGTCTGATGGAGAATGGACAGGCTACAACAGCAGGCTCCTGTGCAGGGTAATACGCTGCTCCATAAAGTATTAACAGCAAGGGAACAGTTTGACTTTGTTGTTGTACTGAGTGGTGGATGCTTGCAACATATAATTACATGTTGTGTTGTGGCTTGAAACTTTTTTTGATTTATGGCACCATGTTTGTCCTCATTTTTGTCTGACCTGTCGCTGACTGGCTAGAAATCTCTGAGCGTAGACCTCCCAGCTAGACCTGCAGATGAGTAATTCATAACCTAGAAACTCCTTGCATGCATACATACAGTACATTGGTGAGACTTATCAGGACAGAAAAAAACCTGACTTTTGACATCTTAACCCCCTGTGACATTTGCCTCTTGCAGGCATGGTCTTGGTTCGCAGTGATAGTGGGCAGCTGCTGATGATCCACCAGCAGACTTTGGCTCAGATGCAGGCTCAGTCGCAGTCCCAGAGCGCCATGACACCACGACCTGCAGCCCCCACCAGCACTCCACCTGTCCAGATCACCTCTCTACAGGTACAAGGACTGCTGGATACAGGACTGTCACACAGAAAATGTGACTCATTCATGTTAGGTAGTAATGCACAGATTTCATATACTGGATCGGTGTTTACATTACATTTTTTTTAAGGTAAATGACCTCATTTAACAGATCAGGTAATAGCCAGATGTGATTGATGCACTTTAAATAATGTTTCTTTGTCACTGTTGTTATATTTGTACCATAACAGCACAATTCTGTAAACTCTTTTTGAATAATATTATTAAAATTGACACAAGCTTTAAGAGATTTTGGTGTATCGACATTTTCACCTATAGTTAAGACGTGAGGTGTAGTTACAGCCTCATTTTACATTGCACACAGAAGAGTGATCCCAATCAGTTCCACACTGTGGGTAAGGTATCAGGAGAGAAAAAGTGGGAGCTGAAAACCGAAAATTAGTTTTTTGTGACAAACTGTAAAGAGAAAGGCCCTTTTCCATCTGATACATTTTATGATGCACCGTGATTTAATTACAGTTTGGTTACTGGTTTCACATGCACACTCTGCGTGTGTGGTAAATGACCAGTGTAAGTCATTCTCAAGAGTGGACTGATTTCATTTAGCTTGTGTGGAGTTTTGCATCCAACTTTAAACCAACTGACTGAAGAAAACAAAAGAAACCTGCCAAAATGGAGAATTGTTTTATGAAATGAATCGATCTCCTATTATTATGCAGGCTCCAGGCGCACCACTGCTGGCTCGTCCGGTTACCCCCACCACCATTATTAAACAAGGTTCCACAGTCCAAACCACTGTGACGGCCACCACCACGCTGCAGAGGCCTCCTGTACTGCAGGTAACTCCGCCAACACATCCCTTTTAGGTATTTAATCCGATGTGCAGGGTATGACGTTATCAAGCACCAAATACCATTTAAAAACAGTTCAGTGATCAATTTGTAAGGGCTGTTCACCACAAAGAGTGGTAGCTGTTACACAAAATCTGGTTCGTGCTGACATGACACTCTCAACCCTTGGACGGTCAAGTTAAAGCAAACCCATTGCTCTGTATGAAACAAGCTGTTGATTGGCTGCATGTTACACTTTGAGAGCAGTCCATTTGGCTCAAATTTAGCCGCCAACGTAAAAGATGTTTCACAAGCTCTGAAAACATGTTTCTCTCTACCAGCTGCTGTGGCAGGTAGATTAGTACATTTTCTACCTTCCACTCAGAACTCGCCACTTCTGAAACGAGTGCACAGGTAGTTCTGCATTTCCTGTGACTGCAGGCCGATGACATCAATGGCATCGACATCGTAATTCTCTCCTGCCCACATCACTCTAGATATAAAGTGCTTCAAGGGTCTTCCTGACCTCATCAAAACACAAACCCATTTTTCAATAAAGGACCTTTCCATTTTTAAATGTCCCTGGCAGTGTTTCCCACACATTTAGCATTTTTATTTTATATTATTTTTTCAATCCGTTCAAGATGATGACACCATCCATGATCTATTAACTAGTGAACCGTCCCCTCTTGCTGTCCCCCTCCTGCTACCTACACAGAGAAAGACTTTCTCTGGTATTATGTGAAGATGTGGACATATTGTGAATATTTTATATATATTTATATAAGCACGGACCAAGTAAAGCAACAGAAAAAAATCAAAATCAGTCACAAGAAGTTTGAATGCAAGTGTTTGAAGAAAACATGTTGTTAATTTAAATGAAATGTAGAATGTGCACGTTTGTCCCATCATTTTTCACCTGCTGGGAAAAGCTCTGCAGCTCTCCTAAATCCTGGAGAAGATAGGAGTAATTTCTCAGGATGAGAAAGTCAATATAAGGCTTTTAGACCTACCTAAATCAGGACAAAATGCACCTCTCTTGGACCGGTTAGGATGGATTTCCCCACTCTGACTTGCTAGATTAAAAACAGGCCCAAAACCTGTTTCAAAGGTTGTATTGTCATCTTGTTTTGCCTAATAGCTGTGCAATGAAAAGACAGATTTTTGTGTCATGGCCAGCACATTTGTTTTCAGTTCTGTGTATTCTCTGAGTGGCTTGTTTGTTTGCTCACTTTCAAAACCTTGCTGGTTGTGTTAATTCTTTTAGTAAGTTATGATTTTGTTCAGGTTGCCATGATTTTTTTTCTTAAAGGTTAATAGATTTTTACTAAACCCTATTAACTAGTTTAATTTTCTGTTTTGCACATCATGTTTTTCTTTTGTACTTCCTAAGACTGCAACTCCTCCTCCTGTGATTATTTGAGCAAGTACATTACATACAAAGTAAATGCCAAGAAGCAAATACACACAAATAAACAATTTTTTTGCAAAAATGTATCCATTTATTGAAAATATTGAACTTTGAGCAAACAGTTTCTGCATATCACGAGTAACGTGAGGGGAATATTCGCTTCATGTTTGGTGGGAACGCACCATAAGAGTTTCTCTGTGATATTGAACATACAATATCTAGCACAACTCTTTCCTGGAAAAATCCAGCTTGCGGAAAACATCGTATTATGTCCTAGTAAAGCTGAATGCACAGTGCTCCGGGACCAGACATGTCAAAACTGTTATTCTGACCTTGTCATCTTCCTTCCTCTTGTCTCATGACTGCATATTCACTGACTTATATAGAACACCATCATGCTGGGAGGAACTGCCACCACCCCGGGACAGCCGCTAGGAACACCCACCACAGTGCAGCCTGGATCTGCAGCCACAGCAGTTACGCAGAGGGTAGGGCCCCTTGGGGCCGCTGGGACCGCTGTCACTCCAACAGCTATCACAGCTGTAAGAGAGAAGTACTAACCTTGAACGCTTTTGTCTTGGAAATTTTTCAAAGCTAACTATAGGTGATACTATTAGTTTTAGAGTAATTTTGTGTGCTGTGTCTGGTTCACATTTCTGCTGTAAGAAACAATGCCATTTTGTGTTTATGCGCTTGCAGGAGACACTGGAGAATGTGAAAAAGTGTAGAAACTTTCTCTCCACATTGATCAAGCTGGCATCAAGTGGAAAACAGTCTTCTGAGACGACCGCCAACGTCAAAGAGCTGGTCAAAAACCTGCTGGTAATTTCTTTCTACTTCTTTTTCTGTGTTGTTTTCCATCATCTCAATGTTAGAACTAGATCTCTTCATTCATCTTCATACCTTGAATTGTCTTTCCTTCCTTTGTACAACAGGAAGGGAAGATAGAGCCTGAAGATTTCACCAGTAGGTTATACCGGGAGCTCAACTCCTCACCACAGCCGTACCTTGTGCCTTTCCTGAAGGTGAGATCAGTGACACACTAGCAGATATAATGGTTGATGCTGCAAACTCAGACCGTCTTCTCTTACCAAAATGCTCCTAACCAGGACACTGCTTAACATCTACTATAACTTACTTTATGGTTACTATTAAATGAATAAATTTACTGTAATCCTATTGCAGGCATTACATACTTCTAGCCCTCTAAACCATATAATCTACTCTCTTTAATGGCAGTACATGAACATCATTAAAGAGATGTGAGTGTGAGTATAGATTTAGTTTTCATAAGACATAAAACACTGTTGCAATAACGTTTAATGAACTGAAAGTTCACAGCTCAGTTTAGCAAACACATTTACACACAGATAATAATAATGTGTGGTTTGGTAGTTCTGTGCATGGTACTGAAGTTGCAAAACCAGGTGTTTTAAACAGTTACGGGCCAGGGAATCAACCTTTACACCAGTGTGGTATGCATATGTTTATTATCCTGCATCAGACACAGCGTCTATCTATTTAAGTTGTATATTTTCTCTTGAAGCACAGTGTGTCTGAGTGTTGTGTATGGCATAATGCTACTGCTTCCCACTACTCCTCTTTAAAAATAAACATGTGCTCTTTCAAAATAAGTGTACTACCGTCTGTGCTGTTGTACACACCAAATTGAGTGTATGTGCACACAGATATTCTCACTGTCACTCAACTTTCTTAGGACACACATTTCTCCATACAGAGCTCACTTTTTCAAACCTGTTCACAGTTCTCTTAAATAATACAATTAATAATATAAATAATATAATAAATAATCCAAAGCACACTAAATAAAACTAAAGTAAATTCAGTAAGACAATACAAAACTGTACATATTCACTATACATGTATAGGAGAGCTACAGATTTAATACGGGTTTAAAATTACACAAAATTAAAATCTTCCGTAGAGCAAAAATGTTCAACATTCAAACATTTAACAGTGCTCAATTGGCCATTATTCTTAATGTAACATGATATTGGCATATTGTCAATATGAAAAAATACATAACAAAAATAAATCACACAAATGTCAGTAATGCTCCATCGTAAGACTCTGACCTGTATACTCTCGAGTATGAAATAACTTATCCACTCTGGTACTACTTGCACTTGATGCACTTGTATGCTGTTCATAAACGGGGCGTTTTCATTTTGCACTTGGGAGTGATATAGTGGCCCATCACTGTGAAGTAGCTCTCTGTAACCCTGGACGTCCATCTATCAATGGTGAACGCAACTGTAGGTGCGGCAGACAATTCCTGAACAACTGCAGCTCAGGCTCGTTTATATAGGGCAGTCACAACGGCTGACTAAAATGTACACGTAAAGGCGCATTGTAGAGGGGCTCAAGCACTTTGACCATGTGCTTAAATTCTGCATTCTTTATGGCCAACCAAGGAAATTACATAACAGACCAAACGTCATGGTTCGGAACGAATACATATCGTTATATGACCAATCTGTGACTGGAAGACGATGATGAAATGCCACACTGTCCCGTATACAAGTTATGCATTTTTATTTTTTAACTCTCTTGATCTAGAAAAAAACTGAGAAAAAAAAAAATGCAAATTTTAGTCTAATTAATAGTAATTTTTTGATATATTAGATTTTGAACAAAGATTTAAGTTTTAACAGTAATATGTTAAAAAAAGCAAAATGGAGTGCAAATACACAGAGTTTTGGTGGTGTTTGAGTTTTAATTATTGAATTTTGAAATA